GGGGGGGGGTAAATGGTTGGCAAATTTAACCAAGCCATCAAACGTACCCTTTTTGGCTCCTTAGAGCTGGCTAATACTTGCGTGTTTATATCAAGCGTTTTCACCTTAACCAAGGGCAAAAAAATAAGTCATTTGGCAAAGTAGAGAGAGAGAGAGGGAGAGAGAGAGAGAGAGAGAGAGCGAAGCCTTATCTCTGCTTCCTGGCATGGCTGTGGTCAAAATAATTCCAGCATGCCGTTACGGCAACAGCCTCCACTATCGCAACTTTGTGCATGTCTTTCAACCACCTGCATAAAGCATTGCACTGCAAACTAGTCAATACCTCCATTTTAAGTATTGATTTAAAGATAAAGAACATAGCCTACGTTAATAAGATAACTCAAGTACTGATAATATGTGGATTGGGATGGTAGTGGTGGTAGAAAGATGTACATGACATAGGCTTGCAAAACTGCGTGGTGTAGGAAACCACCCAATCAGAATGGTGATCCGTTAAAGGTCACACACATACACACACACACACACAGGGGGAAAGGGGTCTGTCCGAACACACAATATTTTAAATGTGATCCATTTCAAGGGATGGGGTGACCAATTGATGTGTTCTTACTTCCTTTAAATTAATATTTTTCTTACGAGTGGGGGTATTTTGATTTACAAGTCAAACAAATGTAATATTTTTTCTTGAATAAAAGAAAATATTATTCAAACTATTAAATCGTAGGTGCGATAAAGCCAGCTCTTGTATGGAAACCTTAGAGAACATCGTTCATGATCAACCACAGAATTAGATGTGTTAGGATTTCGCTGAAATATCGAATAGATCAGCTGAATCCAATCAGTGCCACCGTAATTCAATCAATTAGATTACCTCATCTGCCTGCGCTTTCAAATCCACAATATCTTTTCTGGAGTACTTTTGGACATCTTCATCCGAGTCCATGAGAAGACCAGCCAACTTTCTTTTGCCCATCTGTCCGACAGGAACCTTTGGTTTTCCAGAAGGATTCTTTTGAACAAACTTGGCCTCAGTCTTCATTTTCTTTGGGGGCACAATTTTCTTCCCCGCAGATGGGTTTGGCTGATTTGCCTTCTTAGGAACTGGTGGATGGGTTAGGATCGGGGCTCGATTACTTTTCACAAACTGCGTCGGCGTTGGCTGTATATCACTAGGATCCATCAGAGCTCGAATACGATGCAAACGATGATCTACAGCCTCCTTGAGTCGTGTCAATGCATCTTCCTCTTCTGTCAGCTGACGAACCTTGATCACCTTCTTAATGGCTCCTCCAAATGTGCGAACAACGTGATAGTGGACTGATTTGTTTCGATTGCAATCTGGAATACCGTCACCATTTGCGTCTGGGTCAAGATAATCAGGAATGCCTAGAAACAATAGAGAGATCCATGCCTTTAGGGAGAATTAACATTGAAATTAAATTAAGGCTTTTAAAGATAAAGATGGAGGTTTCTTCTAGGTGGTTCAGTGGCTACTTCTAATAAAAAAAGAAGACTTAAATTGGTATCGTATTGCCAAAAACTTATCAGGAAAATGTGGGCTCAAACAGATCAACGTAGAGACAAGGAACTCACTCTCGACACCTTCAAGCGGTTGCGGTAAGGACCCACATTCCAGTATTGAAACTGTCAGACATTACCCGCTAGAAGCGTCTTCAAGATATATTTTGCTTGTGGATTCATGTTAAAATTATCGGGTAAAAATTGCAAGCAGTTTTTGACGGTGTTTAAAAATAAGCTAAATTTAACAATAAAAATAGATTCTAAAAAGTTTGTTAAACCTAATTCTTTGTTTTTAAATTATTGGTGTTAAAATTTGACAATTTTTTTCGAAAAAAACTTATTAAAAATCAACAACCCACCATCATTATCGTCATCATCATCGATATGATTGAGCAAACCATCCCAATCAGAATCTTGAGTTCGGTCGATTTTGCCATCGTTGTCCATATCGTCATCTTCCTCGTCTGGAATTCCATCGCAATCCTTATCTCCAGGGTCCCCCAGGTCTGCAGCCATTGTGTTGGCCTCGTGCTGTGCCTGTTGAGCTGGGTTGGCAAATAAGAGCAAGATGTTGATCGCATATCAACAAACCCCACTTCTTAATAGTAATCAAGATGAGATGGATTTTTTTACTACTACTACTAATAATAATAATAGCTGTGAAGTATATTCTAGAAAGCGTATCTGAATCACATCTTTAGAATAGACATAGAGCCTCTCCGCGGAGAGACTGAAATTCTGCCATCCTCCTCCGTACTAACCAATCTTTTCTCGAATCCGGTTAGTCTTTCAACTTGTTGAGGCCACTACTGATCATATGCCATATTTGCATCCCTCCTGGAGAAAGCACGACTCGCGCGCTTCATAAATCACTTCAGATCCTTCATGCAAAACGCATTGGATATATGAAAACCCATGAATAGATCCCAATGGAATACTGATTGGATAAATCCCCCCCCCCCAACTTGAGTATGGCACAACGAGAAGGCCAATATTCTGTTTGAGCTCTCTCAGAGCCACGCAGAGTAAAGAGCTAATTCGACTATTCTTCCTCCAAATACCGAAGCAGAGCTACAATAAGGGGAAATCCGCCATTGGGCGACTAGAAAGTCTTCCTACTTTGCCTATCGTGAAATAAAACAACTCCTTTTGAATTATAGGCAATGGATAAGGACATCTGAAAGCATGACTCTTTGCCTCAAGAGAGCTTTGCTAAACGCTATAAAATGTAAGACAATAAACTGCGATCCTGTTCCTCAGGCGCAAAGATCGACAAGGACTTTCAGTATCCAGACTTCGGTTACTAGGAGCCTAAAAAGAGATTGTCGCATACCAGGAAGTCATTCATGAACTCAATCTCTCCATTCCTCCTCTCCCCACACACCCCCAGGCAAATAATTCCATTTCTCTCCATCTCTAATTACACTTATTCGAAACAATGCTAAGTAGTAGTAAATGGACAATTCACCTGTCATAGCTTCCAAGTTTTTGGGTTTGTACATGAGAAAGGCCATGTGATCGGGATCAAGATGGTCAGGAATGCCATCATTGTCGTCATCGTCATCCAAATGGTCTGGAATGCCATCTCCATCAGAATCTTTAGGCTGACAGTCAGGAATACCATCTCCATTTGAATCCTCATCCTCAGAATCTAGATCAACGAGAAAAGGTTACGAATGTGATAACGCTCTGGAAAATATTTTTTTCGAGTTCTCTTCCAAGTATAAAATATCTTTGGAAGCTTCGAATGGCTGCAATTTAATTGCAAGAAAAGGAGGATATGGAAAGACAGTGCAGAAATTATATCGGTTGCATTAATTTTAGACCAACACTTTCCTGGTTGATCCTCGACTTCAAAGCCATCATTGCAAGAAATGGAGAGTTTATGCCCCTGCTTCGAGTACAAACTCCCCCGTAGAACTAAACTAAGAATTAATTAATTCACTAATTTATAAAAATTCTAACCTCTACTGAATCCTATCGAAAAAATGAATAATGGCTTATTTAGTTCAGTCATCGTCTGTAATATCGGTCATGTAGTAATTGAACCGTAAATAGGCTTCACGTATTCTATAACTCCTCAGCTGCTCCATTTTAAGGGCAGGGCCAATCAGATTCGGGGTAGCGGAAAAGGAAGGACTTTTAGCTCAATCGACTGCTTTCCTATTCAACAAAACATATGACACATTTGACATGAAGAGATGAGAAATGATTGGCTGCCTGGTTGACCAATAACTTCACGCGGATGCAAGTGGCGGGAAGCCAAGTGAGTAGACAAACAAGGTAAGAATTACGACTTTCTCTCTCGATTGCAGGAAGGATGTTCGATTATCCTCCCTCACACTATGTGAACGTCATTTCACGATTATTCTGCGTTTTAACCTTACGCGTTTTCACCACACACTAAACGTTAAACGTGGCAGGAATCAAATTTAATTTATACTTAATTCTAAGTTATACCTGGAATTCCATCATTATCGTCATCGTCGTCCCATTCATTGAGGATGCCATCGTTATCACTGTCCTAAAAGGAAGACAATGGCAAGTGTTAAAATCTCACTGTTATTGTGAACATTTTTGCCATTTTATAAATTTAATTACGGTAGCCTAAAGTAGCGATGATGAAGAAATGTATTTAAATCGATTACTTGGCCGTACCTCTATTTCCTTACTTGTATTAGTATTCTTTCGAAACTAAAGGAAGGAATTTCGTCAGCATCCAGAAACCAACAGGATACATTTGTGATCAATCAGAAGCATAGTCTGCTAACAAATTTAGATTTAGAAATTTCTTTGGTTTCGGTTCAACATTCATACCGTGGTGAGGACGTCATTTAAACTCTCAGGAGTGATTAAATTAAATGTTTCGGGAAGTAGACTAACCTGTTTATTATCGAAGTACCCATCGTTATCATCATCAGGGTCAATGATGTCTGGAATACCATCACAATCGTGATCCTGAAGATGGTCTGGAATTCCATCGTCGTTCATGTCATCGTCGATCGCGTCAGGGAACCCATCACCGTCAGAATCGATTCCAAGTCCTCTCACCCCGTCACTATCCAAATGATCAGGAATTCCATCGTTATCATCGTCTTTGTCAAGAATGTCTGGAATTCCGTCCTATAAATGTAATAATCAGAATAAATCGATACTCTGAAAACATTAGCATGCATCCACCTTCGAAGGACTAAGTTATTTTACATTGATTCTAAACTTCGTCAAACGAGAAGCACTATAGAACATTCATCCATGAAAACACTCCCACAAAAGTCCGCATTTATTTTAATGAACAGGGAACTACACATCCAGGTGAGCAAAAATGATTGCATTTACTCCAGGTGTCTTATCGTTTGAAATTTAAATTGAGAGGCAAAAAATTTTGAAAAAAAACTTTTATTTAGATAAAACCAACTGACCCCCCCCCCAACCCCCAAGAACATTTATCAAAAAGGAAGCTCTTTTTATATGATGCGGAACATGTCTTAACGGCAAATGTTTATCTGGGCATATAAATTTTGCCGCCAATTTAATTTATGACTCCCAATTTCTTCACGGAAAAAAAGTGGATGAAATGATCTTAGTGAATTGTTTTGAAAAAAAGCTCATTTAAGGCTAGCAAATAAATAATTTAAAGTAAAATAAAAAAATAAAAGGAGAAAATAAGAATGTTACCACGATTGCATTTCCATAATCATTTATTAATCAATTATTTACAACTTTTCTCCTGCAATTTCGAGAAAAAGTAAAACTCAGATAATCAAAAAAATTAAAGAACAATTTTGATTTTGTCTGCGCAAAGAATTTGGAAAAATAGGAAGGTTAGTAGCACATTTTATTCTTTATTAAAGGTTGTAATTCTGAAAATCATTACAATAAACAAGAATGTGTAAAAATTGGAGGTAGGGAGTGAACTGTGGATCTCATTTAGAAAATCAATAAATTATTGATTAAAACTTCTTCTCAGCTGGCTACCGTTAATTACCCAACTCAATGGCTCTGAATTGGGAGGAGAACCACAATTATGCTATAGCTGTTTAATCGGCTTAATAAAAGCGTCTCTAGAGGGTGCAATTTCTTTCACCACCAACTAAACTGTTCCCCAAATCTGGAATACCATCGAGAATGGCAAAACGAATGATCTGACATTTAAGCTCCCCCCAAAAATAAGAACAACTTATCTTTCATCAAATGCTAAATTGAACAGGTCAAAATGATATCAAAGGGGGGTGGCAGTTGGCTTCATTTTTATTGGAAATTAATGTGAATAAATCCAAATTGCATTATTTTTCCCCAAATGAGACTTCGAAAAGTGAAACGCCATTTACCAATATTCTATTTTAAATAGTTTTTTTTAAATTTGCATCAAATTAAAATCTGCAAATGTGGTAGTGCACATATTTTTTTCCAATTGAGGAAACAGAAATCTTGTAAATTCGAAGGATAATTTTGTTTTTAAATAAATCAGTAGAAATAGGGGAAGGTCGTTAATGTTATTACAAGGAATTGGAAGTGACTTGAGCCACAGAAAAACGGTATTTTTAATTATTAATTTATTTTCATTATTTTGCACTGTAAAGGACTAAAATTCTTAGAAGTAAAAGTTCTGTTGTCCATACAATGAGACAGGAGACTCCGATCCAAATTCAGGTATGAAATTTTATACGAAAGTAGGCAATCTACAAAATTTTGGGGTAAAAGGGACGAATGAAGATCCAGATTCTCCATCATGAAAGCAAAAGTTTCCACTGAATATCCTGAAAAAGTCACGTAACAAGAAAAAAATAAAATGAACATATGTTAATGCGTGCGTGTGTGAGTGCGTGTCTACCTCAGGGCAATAAATAAAACAAAATGTGAAATAAAAATAAATATGTGGTTTGGTAATGCATTCGCAAAATGGTCGTCTTGGGTTAATTCATGGGTGAACACCTCTCGGCACTTTTCTTTAGACCCAGTAATAAAAGAGTATCATGATTTAATTGAAAAGCAAACTCACATTGTCACTATCGCGGAAGAAATTGAAGAATTTGTGATTTGGATCCTTCAGATCAGGAATCCCGTCGTTATCGTCATCGGTGTCAATATGATCAGGAATGCCATCACCGTCTGAATCCTACAATTGGATATAATTGCACACACACAATTTGAAAATATATCTCAACCTGAGACCTAAATGTTTAAACAAGACTTGAAGTCTTAACTTTGAACCCGAACTATTCGGCTCATTTAGGAGATGATGGAACAATGCTAACCAGGAAATGGGAGGAATGAGTCGCCATACTCATTGCTAACAAAGAAGTAAAAGGCAAAGTTAGCAGCTGCCAGTTTATAGGATAAATCACTAAGCCAAAGTTATAAGAGCGGTTGACCAAAGATGCTCAGTCACACCGTCTCCCTCCGCAGCACCGCTGAACGCTTCTTGATCAATTATTCTATCCTCAATGGCCTTGAAGGTCACTACACTCTTTCATTCAATTTTGCCCCAACAATGAAAGCTTCCAACACAAACGATTCAAATGCCAAAAATCGATAAATACATTCTAATTATTCTAATTGCAAATAGGGCAAAATACCTATACTCTTAAAAGAAACAAAAAATAAGTCTCTTAATAGAGAAGTCCATATCAACAGTGCCCTTTAACTCATAAATAACAGGGGTTCATACTTGGAATTTACATTACATAGTGCATTTCAATGAAATTCCAGTAATTAAAATAACCAATCAGAAGTTTTTCCCTTCAATTATGTGGAGAAATAATTTTTTTCCGGTTGTTATTTCATGTGTAAATAAATCAGACGCCACGCTTCTAGAACACTAAAATGGAAGCAAATTAGCGCCTTGTTGTCAGTGATATGCTATTTCCAAAACAGATATGTCAAAAATTATTCAACCGCGTTGCCTAAGATTTCTAAACAGCTATTGGTGAATTTGTAATGCCAGCCTAACTATTTGTACAGTTTGCCTATGGAAATTGAAATTTCAAAGATGTGGTGAATATGATTATAATTACCTGGATAACACAGTCAGGAATGCCATCTCCATTAGCATCCAAATCTTCAATGTCAGGAATTCCATCATTGTCGTCATCATCATCGTATTCATTGAGAATACCATCACGATCACTATCCTGAAATAAGAAAATAACTGATATTAACTAATTGTCGATATTTCATCAAAGCAGAGATGATAACTAACTCGTCATTCGAATGCATCTCATTCAAATATTAGAGTTCTAAAGGCGCGTCCATCTAGCGTTTTATGGCCGAACAATACTGTACTCCAATGAACTTGAACAAAAAATCTACCATCAAGAATTTCAAAAATGACATCCTTACGTGTCGAAATTATAAAGCATTCATTTTCAGTTCAAAATTGAAAGCTATTTTTAAAGTTATTTTTAAATTTGACACCCATATGTGCAAATTTCATGAAAATGAGCCCAATCTTCAGTTTGATGTGTTCAGACATCAAAATGGTAGTGTTTATGCGCTATTCAGGATTGATATACTTTTTGTCATGGAAATAACTACTGCATTTTTGCAGCAACTGAATAAGTTTTGAAGTTCGCGTCTAGAAGGTAATGGGAAATGGAGATGAAATTCGGAAAAGAATTAGTTCAAATTTGTTTTAAAAATATGAAGAGAAAATTTGATTATAAAAAGATAAGTCGGGGGAATGGAGGAGGTATAATCTCATCTAAAAAATGTGACAATCAAATCATGGAGTTTGAACACCAGGAGAGTACACATCGCCTGCACTTTGATTGGCTAAAAAACGTTTCACGATTTAAACATGATTTCAATAATTACATCAATTTGACGTATTCTCTTTCAGACATGCCACCCATCATTAAAAGTACCAGACATTTCTATGAACTCCCATGGAAATAAATAATAGCAGTCTGTCGATATGCTTCAAAAATTTTCCCAAACACGAACGCATCCGGCAAAATAGAGATCAAGTTGTCAAATTTGGGCTTTAAATCATTTAGATAATAAATTACTCAATTAAACCAAAACAGCCCTCTTGGTTTTCCTCTATACTTGTTTTCATTTATTTTGCGTTAGTTAAGCCAACTGGGTGTCTTCCATTTATGTAGTGGCGTGTGTGTACTACCGGGCTAAATCGATGCGTATCAGATTGGCACTGACCACGGATTGGTAACGACGGTAATTACCGAGTTGAGGTCAGTGGAGAGAGCGAGAGAGAGAGAGGGCGCTGATCAAAATAAGTGACCTTGGCTTGGCCCAAACTTGTCTTGAAGTCAATGAAATATGTCCACTTGGCATATTCGAATGCACCTAGTCGTAATGTTCTAGGTACCTTAGCTATGACCTTGACTAAAATTGCAACTAGAGAATTAAGTTGCTTTTTTAACCACGCCTAAATATACATTTTAACATTACATAAAGGTAAATAAGGGAGAAAAAAATAGATAAAACTAGTGACAATATTTTAATTATTAATAAATATGAGGGCTTTGCAGCTAACTTGGCCTTCAAGAGTAATGTGACGCAGTGAACTTCATATTAAGCAGATCGAGAAATAAAATTATATTTTTTTCTTAATTTAACTTTAATTTCAAATGTGAAACCACCTCATTAACACTCCCATCAGATAATCTAGCAAATTGTTTCATATACTTAAAAGTTGCCATCTGGCCAGCTCACAATTTGCAATTGCAAATAATTAAATAAATTCACCGAATGTTCATTAGGCTTAATTCAATTTACTCAAGACTACATACTCGAATTTTATCACTATTTATTATAAAATGATGCGGTGCCTTCAGTAGAACGAAGATGAATTAAAATGCTTGCAGGAATGGAGCAGAATCCCAAAAAATGGCGACAAAAATTTCACAGACTCCATAATCTAAAGTGGAAAGTGGAGATATTGAACCGGATGTCTTCTTTGTTGAATTGGTTCTTCTTAACTTAAATAGCAAGCGTATCGCCCTGTTGATCTTGCCAAATGATTTTCAACTTCTCGATACAGGCCCGAGTTTCTTCCCACCTCCTATTGGTCAGTTAGCATGGACACTCACCGCCTTCCATCCTAAGTGACAGAAAAATCATTCACTCATGTCAAACTTTTGTACTCTTGCCTCTGAGTTGTTGGCTTTTTATTGAGGTTAAATCAAACCACCTTGACCCGTGCATATTCAATCTACTCAAGGCGAAAATTCTGATGGGCCCCGATAGTTTAAACCTATGTTAGTAGGGGTCATATTGTCACCTTTGAGTGATGACACCACCTGAGATTTTAAAATTGGTCGATTTAAGAGCCTGCTTTCCGCCATCGTCCAGTTGAGCTGCATTGAAAGGTGAAAGATAGTTGATGAAAAATACTGAAATCACTAGATCACCTTCAGAATTCACTCTTTCGCCTTCAGGCCAAGATGCGACGCGAGGAATTCTTACAGAGAACAAAGAAGTTGAAACCGCAGTTGGAAGCTATGCGCAAAGTTTGGTGCCCAACTTTTTACTTAACTCGATAAAGCTACTCAAGTCTATGATGGCATCTACTTTGAAGGGGGGCAAACTGTGAGATTCAAGAGACCGGAGACCAGTAAAATTAGGAGGGACCTAGAGAGGCCCCACCAACTGACCCCCCCCCCCTCCAAAAAAACTTATAAAGTCATAAAATCCAAAGAAAACTTCCCTCTGACCTTATTTTACAAGTGTTGCCCGAATGTTACTTAGTTGAAAGTACTGACTTCAGGACATACTCTCTTAGTAAAATGTCATTCTCGGGAATTCTGCACGGAACACAGAGAGAGAGAGATGTATATAGAGAGAGGACTACCAGAAACGGTTCCTTGAAAGGACTTTTTCTTGAAACAGCTTAAAAAAGGTGAAGATGTTTGCCTGACCCAATTGCTTGCAGGTGCCAAACAGATGTTTTGAGAGAAAACTGGTGCAATTTGGATATTGAACTCTTGGAGGATTTGGGGGGTGGAGAGGGGTGAAGGCGTCAATAACGAGGACTCATGGGTGCAATCGCCTGTACAACAAAGCGACTCCTTGCTCGAATTGAAGAAGATGGTGTGAAAAACAATTGTTAACTCTCCCATTGTGCCTCAATGTTCCCCCCCCCCTCCCCTCTTTTTCCATTAACAAAAGTACAAAGAAACAGGCGCGTCTTTCCAGCACGAAGACACGCAAATAGGTTGGTGTAACCCTGACTTAAAGAAAGAGACCAATGTAATGCAAATCCACAAGGATAGCATAATTGCTAAAAAAAGGTTGATCTCCGGGTAGTTTATGGATACAGTGATTGTAAAACAGATCCCAATTGCATGAGAAAACATATGTATGCCAAAGTGATGTAAGTAATCTCTCAATAAATGCAAATAGCCAATAGACTCTGAACATTGAGGAAGTAGGCATTGAAAGAGAATTCGACTTTGAAGGCCATTGAATCATTTCATGAAAAAAAGGTAGCTCAGTGTCACCGAATTTAAATTCACATTAGTCCAACTTTACCACCCTTACTCGCTATAATACCCCTTTCCGTAAAAAAACATGAAGAATACGTGAAAAAAGTTAATTTTTTAAGGTAAAACAAGTGGTTTTGTTCGACGCTTTGATTATGAAATTTTTGTCATCATTTTCGCTTGCATTAGTGTGATGTGCAAAATGAAAAGATTAAATAGTAAGAGGGAATACCTGTTTCTTGTCGAAGTAACCGTCGTTATCATCATCAGGATCCAAGTGGTCAGGAATTCCATCGCAATCACGATCGCTCCATCCTACAGCGGCCATCATCTTGTTCAAACGCACAACATCGTCCAGAGTTCGTACTAAACCAAATGAAAAGGCATACCTCAATAAACAAGGTGTCTATACTTCCTGATCTGGAAGATTCGCTAACATGCAGCTGTGAGGGGAAGAGGCCCTATTATCAATCAATTCCTATTATCACAATCAATGATTTCATATCAGTATCTTTTTTGAAAGTTCATTATGGTGCTGCATGCTTTAGTGGCTGATTTCAGGGAATTTGACCGAATTCTCTCTGAAAGGCGCTGCTTCAATTCCAGCAACAATCACGTGAAAAGGTTATCCACTTGACATTTGCGGTTGAGATATAAAGCACAATTTTGCATTTAACGAGGGTTGGAGAAATGTGGTTTAATCGTTTACAAAATGAACCCTTCGCACGAAAAGGTCCAGAATCATTCATCTTAACTACCATTTTCTCCCTTCTAAAAAAGATTCAAAATTGAACATAAAAATTTTTGTAATTAATTTATTGGTTCAAATGAGTGGAATTGTTATTGCATTATCATTATTCATAGGTATTCATTAAAATTCATCCAAGAAAATTTAGGTAAATAAAATTGGATAATAATTTTTTCGTCCTATTCATAATCGATTTTAATAGATCAATTTAAATTTATTTCATAATAAAATTAAGCAATCAACAAAATAATTATTCAAAATAATATACTTGAAATTTTACAAAGCAAAATGACTTCGAAAAGCGTTTTAAATTATTTGGTCCCATATGCTGATACATAACTTAACTATTACATCAATTTAGAAGCTGTCTGATACCTGCCCCATCTAAATTTCTTATAGCTTTTTATTCATCCAACAAACGAAGTCTAGCATTAACAAAAGTGTGTTCAATTTCCACTTTACTATATGGGCAATTGGGTATTTCACCCAAACCAAAATGACTTCTCTTTAGACAATTAATGACTGTTCGTTGCACAATGGAAATATTTGCTTTAAAGGTGCCTAGCCCTCAGTAGTTGGCTGACGACAATCCAGAATTGTTAGGACGAATTCCTTTACGCACGTGGTGTCTCTCCACAGACACACGTAACTTCGGGCAGTACGGACGCACGCGTATACGTCCCGGCGTCACGTACCCGATTGGTTGGGGGTGAAAGAAGTGCAAAAATCGATATGACAGAGGGCCATGCGCATCGACCAATGGGAGTTGCACGTAGGGGAAACAAAAATAGCCCATGTTATGCGTGATCAAATTGTTGCACGTTCGATACACCAGAGTGCGAAATAATGTTCAACACGGAATGAACAAACAGGATATCCAGGCACCAAGCAAAAATTCAACTAATTTCGATAGTTATCTAAGAATTAGGAGTTAAAAAATGGACTTTAATTCAACAATTTAACCTATGATATTTTATTTAAAGTAAATATTTAAAAATCAGATACTATTTGCTCAATTTTGAATTAAGATTTTTGGGTAAAATTTAGTGCCACAAACCCAACGTGAATGAATTCAATTTCGTCGAAACATTTGCTGCTGATAAACGAATCCAACGGAAAATTTGAAAATGATCTATAATTTGCAAAAATTTGAAAAAATATCTAGTTCATGCCGTTGGAAGTTCAAGCTCAGACTAGTGTTATTAACTGCCCAGGAAAGAAAAGTCATGCTTGATTTAAGCGGACAAAACCGTGGTTCTTTATCCATGCTCCAGAGAATGGGAGAGAAAGAGGTATCGACTCGTGGGAACAAACGGCTAAGATCGGACGCTAAGGGTGTCTAGTCAGACACAGACAAAGGTGGAAGACAAGAGGATGCCATTTCAAAAGAGAAAGGTTCAACTTACTGCATTTCTCTCCAGGGTTGCATTTCAAATCTGCAAAATTCGTAGCAATGCAAGCAAATGCGTATGACGAGTGTTTGAATGAGGTGAATGTACGAGAGGTAGATAGATAGACGAATAAATGCACAACAAAGGTAAATAAGTAAATAAATAATGCATAAAAATAGCACAATACTGATAAATGCAAAGGTAGTATTTGTGCACTGTCAAAAAAACACCGACAACGTACACTCATCGATGACAGGTTCCAGGAAATCTGGAATTTGATCACCGTTTCGATCCTCTAGCATGTCTGGAATCCCATTGTTGTCATCGTCAAGATCTACGTCGTCTGGAATACCGTCCATGTCACTATCAAGTACTTTTTGCTTGTTTCCGAAACGCAATTTCATCTTATGATCAGTAGTATCTAGACGACAATCAGGAATTCCATCACCATTAGAATCTTCATCCTCCTTATCGGGAATTCCTGAAAAAAATTTGAAAAAAAAATTAATTTTGCTAAAACATACGAGTGCATATTTATTATTTCATTACTATTATTATGAATTATATCAAAATCTAACTCAGCAACATCGACGCTACATTGTCTAATTTCTAAAATAAACAAATAGCGTCAATATCTTCGAAGAAAGTAGCTCGAAAATTGATTGCAATAACAAAATATTTGGTCAATTTTTATGCAATGGCACTAGAGATGACCTTGCAAAAAATATGGAATACCTAAGGAATATCAAGAGCAAAAAAACAAGTCATTTTCTGACCTGATTAAGCCTAGTTTCAAACAACGTTATTCATAAGTTGGCGTGAGGACTACCTGTCACAGTAATCAAATTGAAAAAAAATAATTATCAGTGCTGGAGGTTGAGACTTTGATAAATAGTGAATATATTTCATACATATTTCGTAAATCATTACTATCAATATCGTGAGAAAAGTGAATCGCTAATAAGCTCAGCAATTACTTTCGAACCATTTTCAAATTTTTTTAACAATACGATGCCTAGGAGGAGAATCGATAAAAAACCAGTTAGAAAACTATTTCAGTGTTATTGCTTATTTTTACGGAATATTTAAGTATTTTATAAAACATAAGAAGAAATAAAGAAAGAGCTAGACAATCGATATTAAATAAAAGTAAAGTAAAAATGATGATCAATTTCTGAAAAACATCAAACTAAAGTAAGAATTAATAACTAGAAGTGCCATTCAAGAAAATTAGAGATTATCTCAAAAAAGATTCTTAAATTAATATTAAAGTATAAGAAAATTCGGCACATAAAGAAAGCCAAAGAACAATAATCACTAGGTAAATATCTATAAAAGTCCTTAACACCAAAATTTGGAAAATTAAAAGTATTATGTGGGAAAAATCCTTGAGCTGGTATAATACATAGCTCTCCTTTGTTAATATGAATTTCAGTTTAAAATTCAATTGAAGTAAGCCCATATTAATTTAGACAAAATATGAGAAATTAGGACTCACCATCATTGTCATCGTCATCATCAACATGATTGAGTAGACCATCCCAATCCGAATCTTGAGTTCGATCCAAAAGTCCATCGTTGTCAACATCATCATCCACATCATCAGGAATTCCATCGCAATCATGATCATCATAAGTCGGAACCAACTTCCTCTCTGCGACCTTCTTTACCACCTTGACAGGTTTAGGAACCACTGGTTGGGGATTGCGCTTCAAATGAACGGGATTCAATTTAATAGGGGCTTTCTTAACTTCGGGTTTAGGAGTGGTTACCGGTGGAATAGAGGGTACTTTCTTGATATTCTTCAGTTTCTGATGGGTTAAAGAAACCGATTTTACAGGGTTAGCCTTTTTAATTGGCACATTTGGTGGTGGCCTTTTCTTGACTTCAAGTAAGATTCGCTCTCCCGCTATAAAAGAATAAACATTTTATAAATGAATTTATAAAACAAGTAATATTTAGATAAACTTACGCCTGACTTCGTCACTATCGACGTCACTGAGTTTATTACTGTCGATGTCATCAATACTATATTTCGTTAAGAAATTGGCAAATAACCTACATTAAACCACGAGGATGACTTAAAGGTTCACATGAAAAATGGGGAAGAAGAACACCTAAAGGATTAAAATAAGACTTAAAAATTACATGTGGAAATAAAAAGTAATGAAAATAGTAATCCGCCACGCATGGTGAGACCCCTTCACCAGGTTAAGTGACAAGGACGAAAATTCTACGGTTCTGAGGAAGTTGAAAAAACCCAAGGTTATTAAATAGCGAATAATGAGCCATTAAAACAAATTATAAAAGATGATCTAATATTAAATATCGGACTACTTTGTGATCATTTAATATTTTTAAATTCGTATTAATGTAATTTGAAACTAAATTTTAAGATACTAGGTATTTTTTCTATTTGCAACTCCTCCTTTGTCAATATAGTAGCTTATCATTCAACGTAATTTTCATAATTGCTTTATCACTATAATATTTTCCTGTGTCAACACCATTTCTAACACATAATTCTTTTAAGAGATTCTTTTGCATTAACTTACTACCCGTGCCGTTGCTATGAATATGATAATAATTCGTTTTAAATAAAGAAAATTTTTTTGTAGATAGAGCTATCGTTAATATGATGGCTAACCTTGCAGTTCAAACCTTTTCTTTTCAAAGGCTATCTAGCGCGTATTTTTATATGCCATCTAATTGCGCTTACGTTTGACAACATATATACTTTCATAGATTTCATTGAACATTCGGCTACATTAACTGACGTCAATCAAAGGATCATTTCACATGTTAACCCTAGGTTGTATATTTGAAAATGAAGTTGCTTCCTGTTCCCAACTGAACTAATCTAGTGACATGAGTGATCTGCCCTGTTTCACGGAGAGAAATTATTTTTAATGTATAAAATTCAACCTGAATACATTGAGTCGATTATAACATAATAAATCTACTTCGCATAAACTGATATGCCTGATCAAACATCCATTCAGGTTCCCCAATACTCTTGATGTTGCTAAATGTAAATATTGAGTACTAGCTAAGAATGATTACGCAAGTATCAACTCCTTCTGCCAGATTGATGTGTATTTTTGTTTCCATGAAGAATTATTATTGGAGAAATTTTGGTTTCCTTGGAAGGAAGAATTTTTCTTCTAAATATTTTCTACCTTTTGTGGGGGGGGGTGGTGGTGGTGATGATATATAGTGCCCCAATTTAATTCCCCTCATTTCACTCTTTTATGCCGCTTATTATGAAACTATCAGGTTACATTTCCATTTATGAACCAATTACTATATTTGGGCTCATTCGGCACAAAAAATCGCATTTTCGCACAATTGGATGATTCTAGTTAGCCCCCAAAATGGTTTTAAAATTGCTTTAAAGCAAATTTATGATAATCGTGTTTTAAATGAGCATTCTATAACCTCATAAAATGGTGACTCTGCAGTGAATGCAACATAAATAAGCTTTGACCAAATTCCTTGCTCTGAAATTGCTCCGGAAATAATGTAAGCTGCCTCGACAACATCAAGGAAACAGGATGAGAATTCTAATTGTGCCACTTCACAGAGTTTATTCATTAGCATGCAACTTTGACTGCGCTAATCATATAGTGACTACCGTTTTTTGATTGGTTGAGAGATCGCTACGCTCATGACCGCACATGCGCCCTAACGGCATCAATTTCATGGCCATGTGAACATGGAAATCCTTTGATACGGCCACGCATTTTCCTCAATTCTGACGTGAATTTTAATCTAGAGCCTGAAATCCAACTCAACAGATCCTCACACAACAAGATTTTCCTGGTCAGCCCAAAGTAGACAATCTGTGCCAGGAATATGCACTCCGGTAGCGAACAGGGCGTAAACGAATCACAATTAAGTGTGAGTGATTCATCCTGCGCGCGTGGGCATATCCTCGCTACTAACCTCTTTGCGTCGCCAAATTTGCATGAACCAAATCTCCAGACAATTGGTCGATACCTACTTGCTATTCATCATACCAGTTAATTTGCAAACGAGGAAATAGGCGGATGAAGGAGAGCACTTGTGAAACTCAAATTGCCGTATAACTGTCCGAAAAAAACCCCAATGCCGAAATTTAAAACGAATGACATTTTGAAAAGCAGAGTAGGCAAGACGGTGCGAGATTATAATTGACTTTATGCGCATATAGATTTTGCTGGGAAGAATTCCATGAGTTTTAGGAGTCAATTTGGCAAAAATACTGATTTCTGCGCTTCGCCAATCACATCTAAATTGATTTAGCTATACAACAGCCCACTTCAGCGAATAGTTTAGACCCCTGCTGATGCGTTTAAACAGTACCACTTACTCCTAAATCCTGGGTGATTTCATTCTCTGAAATTCGACTCTCTTATGCGAGCAGTCCGCATTACGGAATGCGATTACCATGTTTCAACCACATCGCAGCGATAGGCTACGGAGTTCCACTCGACTCTGTCCTCCTCTGTGACAATTTAGCTAACTCCTCCTCCTCCTCGCTCTGCTACTTACCACTTGTTGTCTACTCCCAACTTATATTTTGGGAAGCCGATTTCCAATTGGGCACCAGCATTACGATGCTAATAAAAAACGAATAGGTTTAGACCTAATTGTGATGAATCAGTGGTGATAGTACCAAGTTTAATCCAATAGTAAAGACAAGGGAAAAACAAGAGGGAGGAAGGAGGGGGGGGAGGCTCGGAGAGAAAAAGAGACGAGATTATGTATGCGCTGAAATCGTAAATGCTTGAGAGGGGGGAGGGAGAGAGAGAAAGTGAAGATACATGAGCCTACTTCTTCTTTTTCATGGTAGCGGACGCAGCTCCACCTGATTTGGCCTGTTCAGCCAGTTGTTTGCGTCTCTCAAACGCGGCCATTTCTTCTTGTAGAATACGACGCTTCTCGTCAAGTTTCTTGCGCTCTTCTGCGTGCTGCTTCTTGATTGCTTCGAACTTGGCCTGAAGCTAAAACAGTAGCAGACAAAAATGGGTGAATGAGTAATTGGACTAGCCGCGAAAAAGTGCGCTTTTTACCACTGAACCTATTCATGCACGAGAACCAATGTGCGATCGAGGGATACGAGGATTAAAAACCACGAAGCCCACGGAGTTCAAATCACCCCTTCAGGTAATAAAGTAAAACTTCCCAAACGAATGAAAAGTGCTGGACAAGGAAGAGCATTCAAAAGTCAATCTCGAGGAAAAACCGTTATATGACAAAATTAGCCTCCCCCCGCCCCCCTGCAGTTGGCATTCCTCATCATTAGACCTTAACCCCCAAGTAAACGCCATCGATACAAATTCATCTGCCCCTCTTAACACCCAGCCCTCTTGTTCCCTTTACTGGTATTACTGAGAGCCACGTTTTTAACCACTTCCCGTGATATATCGAAATTTCAGTTATGCTATGATTCCTAAATTATCAATACAGCGAGATCCAAAGATAGGCAAATTCTCACCTGACTATGATGACAAAAAAGAAACTAACAAGAGCAATATAACCCCCTCCCCTCCCCCAAAACCGATTTCTGATTTATTGAAATTTATTCCTGACTCCACCGGATCTCGATTGCATTTATCAGAAAAATGCGAATTGCAAGAAAGTGCATCAAGTACTCCCTGCTTCTATGGAGACATCTTGAAGCTGTGCAACATCCAAATTGACCTGGTGAACTTAAACCCAGCCGTTCGCACAAGGACAAGCGTACGTAGAGATTCGGTACATTATGACATAACCTGAAAGGCACGAGTACGGACGACCGATCCGTACACTGGATAAAAATCAATGGAGACTGAAGACGTGAATTCTGACTTATTAGAAATTGGGAGAACACGTTAACTGGACCACTTGTGGGAAATAGGAGGTATCGCAGATCCGATTTTCAAGAAACTCCCATTCTACCACACCTCTTGCTGTTGGCGATTAGTCACCCATACTACTCGTGACCTTTGACTTAAACGACGGGCACACCAAACACTGTACCATCAGCAAAGTCATCAAAACCATTGAAGAACAAACTCGAATTCCACCTGTTCTCCCCAATAACCAAAACTGATATGCAATGAAGTCAATAATGAGCTCTCAAAAGAAATAATGAAATGAAGTAACACACCTCGCGTTCAGTCTCTTTCAAGACTTGCTCCTTCTCCTTGACACGTTGGACAAACATCTGGCGCATTTCCTCCTCTTTCTGTTTCAATTCCTTCTGTTGAGTCTCGCGACGTTTTTCGTACGTCTCCTGAATTCGCAAAAGCAAACAAGATGAAATTATTCCATGTACATAAGTTTAGCACCTTTGCACATCTGCCATAGTTCCCATACACGTTATATGTGTGAAATTACTTTATTACAACTTAAAACAATGTGTTCCACAGTACCATTCGAGATGTCTTGTAGCTAAGAATCCAAACCTTCCGATAATTTTCCATCATAATTGTATTCATGATAACCTTGCTTTTGTTTGAGTTGACAAATCTACCAAACTTTTGACTAGTTTTACAAACGATCCACGTTTCAACTTTTATTCAAGTTAACATCCACGGAAAGGACAGTTCTTCGGCTCTTTCATAACATGGTTTTCATCAAAACAATTCAATATTTCGAGAACACAGATAGCTTTAATCCCTCACAGTAATTGTCATGCAATGTTATTAACGAATAAGAGACAACTTTCCCTTACCTGAAGAGAAATCTTTTCATCGTCTTTGAAGCCCATTTCCGTAAGACGACGCTTGCGATAAGTCTCATAGTGGAGGGTGTGTGTTCTCTCCCGGAGATCTTCCATATTGACACGCAGAAGCATCTCTCGAAGACGAACGAAATCGCAGTGAGCCTCGTTCTCCACTTGAACACAACCCCAGGGGTATTGACGAACGCGAAGTGTGCGTCCGTTCACTTTGGTCTCCTCGGTACTGCCCACAACTGCGAATGGCAGCATTTTCTACAATTGGAGGGGGGAGGGGAGATTCAGCAAAACAGTTTGTTTAAATGACTCGGTACCCGGTTTCTTAAGTTGGGAAGATAAAATCGCTCGTGTGAACCTCATAGCGCCATCATTCCCATGACAAAATATTTGCCAATTAAGAGAATTCCAAAGCCCACTTGACTCACTGCGGAGAACTACCTCCCCCCACCCCCCTCAACAAGAATTCATGTAAAGCTCGGATGCTGCCGAATGGACATGCTTTACAATTAAATGAAATAAATGAATTGGAATGGATCCATAGGACACAAGTATTGAAAGCATTAACAAAATCAAACAAAAGTGAAATTATTGCGTTGTACTAAAACGTGGGATTAAGCAAAGTACCTCGCATCACACTCTAAGAAAATCCCACTTTAACACCCACAGAAATAGGTTGAAAAGTAGAAAGTAATTAAATTTCCAAATCTAGCAAGGATTGAGTAACTCAAAATCGAACAAAATTAATCGATAAGACATAACCCTTCAAACTGCCCAAGTAAGATCAGTGAACCCAATTAAAAGCAAAAAACGATATACAAATCCAGTAAAGACTTTAATTTTCTAAAGAAGATATTATGAAACGAGGAAGTCGCATTCAATTATCCGTCTACTAACTAAGTTGGGCACTAAGAGAGAAGTACCAAGTTAATAGACTTCGATTATAGCACATCAAAAAATAACCAGATCGGAAGCATAATCTGGAATGGAATATTGACGCGCAAATGGATCATTATAGCACACTTGTTCTTCCTCGGATGACACTCTCGATCACCAAGGAGCAGTAGTGTGCAAAAGCTGAAAGCACTTACATTAGTATTCTCATTGATTTCACTGACGATATCATCATCAGTTGGGAATTGATATAGGCGAATATCGTTGGCCTTGATCTCTGACATCACCTTGGTTTTAAACTTAACCAACTCAGCTTTAGTAATTGTGTCCGATTTTGCAATTATTGGAATGATGTTAACTTTGTCTTGTAACTTCTTCATTGAGACAAGATCAACAGATTTAAGACTGAAAATGAATGAGTTGAAATCTATAAGTTGGAACATACCTATGCCCAGTGGGTGCGATGAAATAAAGACAAACATGAACTCTCGTATCGTGATATGTGTGCATAGATCTTTTGATCTTGAGCTCCTCTTGAAGATAACTCTCATATTGTTGGTCAATAAAATCAACCACACTGTCAGCGCTATTCTCCTTATTGATTTGGTCACCAAAACCACAAGTCTCGGTAACAGTTAATTTGAGTTTAACGGTAGCTTCCTTTAAATCTAGACACCAATCAAATATTTAAAATAGCACACACCAAATGTTTTTGACCTCAATTTGACATCAGGAGAATCGTGGGAAGATGGCGTAAAATCAAACTTTTGATTAAAAAGAGTTTCAATCAGAGTTGACTTTCCCAAACCGGTTTCACCTATTTACGTTTAAAGAAACTGATTTTACTTACCAACACATAAAATATTGAAAACAAAACCCTCGCTAATAGACTTTTCAACGATCTGGTCAGGGAGACTAACAAAGCCCACAGGACCGGATAGTGTAAGTGTTCTGCAATCAGAACTCTAGGGAAAATAACAGTACAAATCTATATTACTTTTTTCTTTAAAGCATCAACAGTCATCTTATGCTGCGCTTTGTTCAAACTCTTAATGTCCTTTGAAGGCCACTTAAGCATCATCAGTATTTGATCGAAATATCCAAAAATTTTTTCCACATCGTTAATTTTTCACCAAATAATAAACAATAAACATTGTTATTTTAATAATTTCTATTATATCTAGTAAATATTTGTTGCTCAATTTTCTAAATGTATTATTTTCTTCAAATAACATATTATACGTATTGCAATAAGATAGACAAGTGAATTTTGATAAATTATTAATTTACCGCAAATGAAACTTCCGACCAAAACGCATGGTACCCATCTTCTATTTTTTCCCAATCCAAGTTTAAAATCTTTTGCACAAAATCGTACCTTATATGTAAGAATGCTAAACTTAATTTTAACTGAGCATTTTCGACCATGTCCATAGCAGTTTACTTTTATGTGCATTGATCTCATTTTCAGTAGACTGGGTATTAACTTCCTAACATTGAGGTAGATATTTTCAGATTAAGAGTAGAACGTATCATGCATTCAGTAATTATAACCTCAAGAATTTTAGTGAGTTTAAATTTAAAAATCTGTATTGTATTCTAGAAGTTCACATATTCCATGACACTTCCTTACTCCATCTCCATTTTTCCTAAGCACCATGGTTTATTATTTTCTGTTTGAAATAGTTAATAATTAATTAAGCTTAGAAGGGAAATATTGAAGTATTGAAAAAAGACACTCGGGACTAATAACCGCAAGAGTTAAAATATAACAAATTAAACTGTTCTATAAAATAAAAATTTCCAGCTATCTAAGTTGGTTTATTCGAAAGAGTAATCTTTCGCTGGGTTTGCGAAATAGGAAATGAACTTAGTTTAAGATTTTTTAATATTTCTCAATCTCTATCCCTTCAAATAGTTTTTAGCAAAAAAATCACTAGCGTTACTTAGATCTTAGGATCATCTAAGTTTTATTTGAGATGTAACTTATAGTCGAACTGAAGCTGTAGACTTGAAATCGTGTTTTATCAGAGCATGGCACTCATATTAATCGATTATAATTATTGGATCTGTTTGATAAAAGTCAGTTGGTAACTTCAATTTATCTTACAAAGATTAACAAAATGTGCCCTGTTCTGAAAAAGTATTAAAGATAAAGTTTTCATGGTCCAATTTGCACTGTACGAAATTTTTATTCTGTCAGCTGCAAGACTGACGCAACATTGGCAAGCGAACTAAACAAACTTTCATACGTCATTTGGGGTGTGTATATAGTTTGAGCTTAATCAGGTGATGAAATTAGCAGTTTCAATCAACCACCCCCCCCCCCTCCAAATTTGCATTATTTCACTTCTAGAACCGTTTAGGATTTGTTTTACTCTTAAATTTTTGTTTTAAAAATGACCTGTAAATTTTATAGCATTTGTCCTTAGTGCTTGTAAAGTTGTGAGTAAAGATGAATTGAGTTGATCGTCCTAAACTTACTCCGTTTACTTAAATGCGAGGGGTGATATAGCGGTTAAATGTCAATACATCTCCTTGCCTCACCTTCTTTTGGTACAAATTTAAAATAAAATATTCACTTTATGATCATGATGAGTACTTATTACAAACAACTTTTTCCAATTCTTGACAATTTATTTTTTGGCCTTTAAATTGATTACAATTTCTTCCTTCATCCGGTACTTCCTGTGTGAGCTTCACGCCTAAATTGTTGAATCGTCGTCATACTAACTTTTTGACAGAATCGTTGGATCCAACCAAAGCTGTCTAAACTACGTTTTTATTATTTATAGAAAGTATGCAAAATCAGTCAACCGCAATTCCGCTATGTGATATAATCGAAAAGAATTTTCGATGAAGAAATTCGAAGGTTATTAGCTGGCAAAATGTGAGGAGATTTACCAGCTCAATGTGATAGCTGAGTAAGAATGAGCGATGGAAGGAAGATCCGATGCACTTTCCAGAAATTACCATTTAGTCACATTCTCTATGAAATCGCGATGCTGGTTCGTCTTTGTTTAACTCAGGCACCTATTTTTCATGTCCGGACGAACCTATAGAAACTCATTTTTCTAGACAACTGTCCCGTTTCATTTAGAAGAACATCTGAAGTCCTTCCACTCTCACGACCTTGACCAAGTAACTTATATTGTCTGTCCTTGTATTTGCACTCACGTACACGCACACTCATGTTGGTGGTTCCCAAATTGATAACCACCATTATGTTACTCCAACTCCAACAAACAGGGGCCCATTTTCGTCAAAACATTAGGTGTGGCACAAATGTTTTATCTAATGCCGAATACAATCTAAACCATGATGATTTAAACTGAAATTAGCAAATCTATGCCACCCATTGAACTCCACAATTCCGTGTAATTTAACATTCTTGAAAAGTAAAATCAATCATGTTAACTGCAAGGTCAGTTGTCAGATTTAGGAGAACGGATAAGAGTCTGCACTAGTTTTAACTTCTAAATAGTTGAATACGTTCTGTATGTTCCGTAAATTTAATCGCTATGTGATTGGCTCAAAATCTACCAATCAAAATTCACATTCACAAAGCATGCCTGTATATAACCCCGCACATGCCTTTTGTGAATCATATTCATTCTCTCTCTCTCTCCCTGTGTTTGTGTAAATGAACACAATCGATATATACCTTCATCTTCTCCACTCCTTCTTCTCTCTTGCCTATTTACTTTGGATGAGGGCTTTTGAGCTTGTTCACAATCCACTAGAATCCTCAATTTTCAGTATCTTAGCGGCTGTAGTCATTGAATCCAAAAATTCCAGAGAGGATGAGGACGAGGAAAGTGAATTGGAGTATGAAGAGGAGGAGAATTATGAGGAAAGCTCACATCATGTCCTATTCTACTTGGAAACACCCAGGGATATTTGTATATAACAAACGCGCCTACAGTTTGCAATTTGCCTTATTTAAAATTATTGCCCCTTTTGTACATATTTAAGTGAATTATTGAAAATATATGCTATTATTTTTAATAAAATATGTATTCAATTCAATTATCAGTTTAAAAATTAAAACAGATACCAATGCCACATTACCATGTTTAGTACTGTGGTGGGATATGCGAGCGTAACAGAACAGTTTGAACCTGTCTCCGAGTTGGAGGTGAAGTTGAAATCCGGGATTATTAAGATGTATCAACAATGGATCCCATCATTTGTATACTGTGCTTATTCCCATTGATGGCTGCATATCAGAATGAGAACATTGAGAGATTTAATTAATTTACTCTATCGCTATTCCCCATAGAAACTAGTAATCGTAATCTCTCATGCAGTTAACTAACGATTTGATTGGATCTCCACACCTATATCTCGATATGTGAGACTGCTCTTGATGAAAACGTCAGTTCAATTACTATTGGCTAACCAGACAGCCAATCATTTGCTCCATAATTCAAGTTTATACAAGTATGAATTTATTTTGTTAAGAGTTAACTGTATTCTGAACTCTGCATGTTCTCTTTTCCTGTTTTCTGTGTTTGGGTAACTGTGGCGGAGAAGGTAACCAAGGTAAACAAAGCCTTTGTAAAATACAATGGGACTCTACTTGCAAATAATCGATTAAAAAATCTTAGAACTGCTTGGACGTAAGGGAATACCAAGAAACCTAAACTAATAATTTTGAGCTGTTATTCTATTTAAACAAAAATTTCTTGTCAAACACACATTTTAAAGCAATATTTACCGAAAGGATTTAGGTAAATAGACCATTTCGAAACTCCACATTGTCTGCATAAACTCCATTTCTTGTCAATTTTGTGGTCGTTGGATTGGAACTTGTCTCTAATGATGAGTGAATGAAAATTTCATGACAGACAAGGGCTTTCATTCACTTACGATTTCTTAACCCCGTATACCATTATGTACTCTAAAGTCCTTTGATTGGGCAAAGAATTGTACTTTCAAACTGAGCGCGTCTTAGAAAACGGGCGGCAGTGCATAGAGTTGAGGATAAATTAGTCATCTCTGTCCTAAAAAGAAGTTTATATTAACAGCCATCGACCAAAGTGGAAGATTTTCATCGAAGAAAAATTTATTTACCAAATATTCTAAAAATGTGGATATTTTCAAAATTTTTCAAGATGTCATCACCTTGCATTAACGGCTTTTCAGTTTGCTCTTTATTAAGGTTGCAGCACCTCAGACTCAAAGAGGAGCCATGCTGCCCCAAACATCGATTATCTATTCAACAATTCAAGTTTACTTATATCAACGCCTTAGGTGGTCTTGCTTATCGAGGTGAAAGCGTGGGGATCAGATCGAATCGATAGCTAACAGAATCTATTTGTATCAATGACAGGCTCTATGGAAGTTATCATTAGCCCTTTAGTTGGCTTTGGGCTTCACAGAGGAGAGGAACAGAGGAGTGATCCACAGATGTAAAAGAGACAGACAGACACAAAAGTAGGGAAAATGTAAGGTAAGATGAGTACTGTAGAAGTGGTCGAATGTGGCATACAGTGGGGGTGATGGTCGTTTGAAGTCAGAAGTCAACTGCCGATTAAAAGACACTTTTGCCGTATGAGTATACGTTGCCCAGGGTGCAACACATGGAAATAAGTCTATCACGCATCCCAGTGTGATCCCAGTGAGGCTACGGCTTATTGTGGATATTGTTTGCAGCTGTTTGTAGAACTGGTGAGAATTTTCACACGCACACACACACCCCATAGCCAACAACATGAAAGGTAGGATTGTGAATTTACCTCGAACGCGACAACAATACCTCAATAGGAGCAATAACAATT